AATCAGTCGTGTCGAATCAATCAATCAAATCAAATTAAATCTATGCTATCTAGTCAATAAAATCAATCGGAAAAGCAATACGATAAACTTCAATCTACTCTATCAATAAATCAAATGTAGCAAGTCAATACAATGCAGAATCAATAGTATCAATGAGTCTATAGGCAATACTATCAATAAATCTATAATATCCATGTCCATAGCAATGAATCTATACAATATCTATATCCATCCTATCCGTATCAATATCAATATATCAATAGTATTCATGCTCAAATGATCAATCAATGAAATCGATGAAATCGTACAATACAGTGAATCCGATCAAATCAATAAAGCAGAAATTGATAAAGCAGTAAATCCGTATGTCAATACAGTAAACATGCATTCAATACGATAATACTGGACAAGTACAATCAACTGGCTATGTTGCTGTTGTAGAATCCATATTGCTGTTGTAGATATTCATACGTTGGTTTCAATAAAAAGAGTCGTCACTCTATTGCCCGTCGGCATATCTATAAGAACTCCTTATGACTCCCATCCATATATCCATAATCAATGTTTAAAGGAAAGCCCGTCGGCCCACCATCCTGTACAGGTCAATTCAATCTCCAACCAACGTTCAACCAGGTTTCACTTGTGTTCCAGTATCAATAATCAATCAATAATCAATTCAATAGTCAATATTAAAGCAATCATATCAATATTCACATTCATATCTATTCAATCTATCAATCTCAGACAAATCAGAAATCCTACGAAAATTCGACAGAGTAACGGCAGTCTACCGATTTACACAAAAAAAACTGCAAAAAAACACTAATTTCCAAATTCACACAGAACGTTCACAACATCAATATAAGGCTATTGTTCTACTGAATCCATATCAAATAACATCCTGATATTTTTCTATTCAATTAAAATCGCGTAGAACCAATTCCGACCGGTAAAATCATCGTAGAAAATACTCAAATCGTGTACAATATTCATATCTATAACATTCTAAAAGTTGTGCGGTGAAAGTTGTCTCAATACAAAATCATGTCAAAATTCGACTACGAAAATATAAAAAAGTGCACAACTCGATAAAAAATCAATATCTCTGAAAACAGAAATAGGATTCGGAGTCCTTACTGCGAGACAAATAAATCTTTCAACTACGTCGTCGGACGAAAAGTGCTCCGCGGCCTCCGAAATCCGGCTTTTCCTTCTCTTCCTTCTCTTTCTCTCTCCTGCCTTCTCTTTCTCTCTCTTCAAATGATCCAAAATATCTCGAATCCGATATTTATTAACACTGATCGTCCCGGACGATCTACAATTCATCCCGGGCGACTTGCTCTCTGGACAAATTTCGTCCAGACGGATCGTCCCGACGCTCCAGGTTCGTACAGACAAAAATGACAGATTTCTTCACAAATTTCTTCAGTTCGTCCGGTACTAAATCCAGTTCGTACAGACTAACTGCACTAAAAAAAAATCATCTTTTTAAGGGTTTTACAATATGTTAACAACTAGAGATGGCAACCTATTTATTAAGTAGATGGCGGTGAGAGCCGCATCAGGCCAGAAGTGATGTGGAAGGTTGGCATCGGCGAGTAGGGTGCGAGTTATCTCGAGTATGTGACGATGCTTGCATTCAACAAGTCCGTTTTGTTCAGGGGTATATGGAAAGCTCGTTTGGTGGAGGATGTCGTGTGTTTGAAAGAAGGGATGAAGAGAGTGTTTAATGTATTCATTGTTGTCGTCAGAGTGAGTACTTTTTATGGTGGTAGAGAGCTATTTTTGTATAAAGTGCGCAAAGTTTATTATAAGAGAGGAGATTTTAGATTTTGCATGCATGGGACATAGCCATACATAGAGTGAGTAATCATCAACAATTAGTAAGTAATAGCTAAATCCTTGAGTAGATAAACTGGGGGAAGGACCCCATACATCGAAGTGTAGTAAAGATAAAGGAGTACATTGAGAATGAGTACAAGAAGAAAAAAAAGTTTGTGGCTCTTGGAAGCCAAACACGAAAAATAGAAAGATAGTTGGGTCAGAATATGTAATTCAGAATGTCGTCTCGATATGATGGATGTGGTTCCAGAGTGTGGGTGGCTTTGGCGTTGGTGCCAATAGAGAGCCGATGAGAGAGAGGTGTTGAAGGCTTTGGGATCGAATGAGGATGAGAGCATCAACGGGTAGAGACCATTAGCAACTTGGCCCAAATGGATGCAATGGTAGAACTGATCGAATATTTTGTAGCCATATGCATCAAAAAGGGAGAAAGTTATTATCTTGGATGAGCTTATGAATAGAAATTAAATTATGAGAGATATGTGGGGTATGAAGAAGTTGGGATATAAGAAGTTTACCATTTTGAAGAGGTAGGATACCTTGACTGGTATGAGTGATAAGTGTGCTCGAACCGTTACCAACTGTGACTTGCTAAGATACGAAGTAATCAGATGGTTGCTGAATGTTCTCAATGTGCGGGGTTAGGTGAGATGTATCTCCAGTGTCTAGTATCCACTCATTGGATAATGTTGAGTGGCCGCGCTTGTTGCAGATTTGGCAAATGAGGGGAGGGATAGCCGAGACGTTTGCAGGTGGAGGTTGTGAGGAGTTGTTTTGTGGAGAACATCCACATCCATGTGGACTATGTCCTCGGTGGTTGTATAAGGTGTATGCGGCGTTGATGCTTAGCTGATGTTTGGTGGAATCGGCCAGTAGGTTGATCTCCTTGCTCATAAGCAAAGAGTAGAAGTTGTCAAGACTTAGTGGAAGAGGATATGTTCGAATGGTAGTCTTGAAGGATTGATATTGGGGTGGCAACCCGTTAAGGGTGTACATAATAACATCTTCCTGATCTACTGTTGATCTGGCTAAGGAGATGTTGTCCACTAGAGTTTTAATTTCGATGAGATACTGGCTCATGGATGAGTTCTTTATAGACACGTTGAGCAACTCATGCTTGAGTTGTATCACACGTGATCTTCTTGAAGCTTGAAGCCAGCTTTCCAAGGTTATCCATATCTCGTTGCAGGTGTAAGGATTATGGATGTATGGTAGAACTGATGTTGTAAGAGTAGAACACAATGTTGCCGCCAAGTTCCAATCTATGAGAAGCCATTGTTTGTAGGCTGGGTTCTCACGAAGTGTGGAATAGGAATCAATGAGTTTTGGTGGTGGAACGGGGTTGGTACCAAAGAGAAATACCTCAAATCCTTTGGCAGAAAATAGCTTTAGGATTTGTGATCTCCAAGTGGGATATGTGTTGTTGGAGAGAAGGGTGGGGATGATGACCTTGATGTTGGATATAACAAATTTTAGGGAAGATGAAATTTGGGGAATAGAGAACGATTCTACCTGGGAGGTTTCAGATTGCTCCATAGTTTTCTACCGCTGGGTATCATAGCTCTGATACCATGTAAAGCAGTGAAGCAGATTTCCTATTCTAGAAAACATAGAAGACAAGTGAGAAGACAAGTATTCATTATATAAAAACAATGTTGTTGTTTTACACAGAGGATAGGATATATATAGCTGTAGCTTGTACGATATGAGTATTATGGGTTTGTCCCTTTACACGTGTAAGGCTTTGATGAATTTGTTTATTATCAACTAACGATATATATGATGTGAATTGTTACATTATCACATGTGCTGTTATTATTTGGGAAAAACTTTCAACACATAATAACAAGTCCAAAAGAATTTATTTGGCTATTACTATATCTAATTGGTTAGTCAATAACTCTTACAAACTCTCAAAGTCGTATCGAGCAAATTGGTTAGCTGAGCACTACCTATATTATTCGATCAACTACGTACTATTAGACTTGAATACTTCTAAGGCTTCATTTGGGACAGCTTTCTTACAACTTTGTAAATCATTTTTTTAGTACAAAATTTTCAAGTTCAAAAATTTGTGTACTAAAAGCTGCTTTAAAAAGCATTAAGAAAGCTGTCATAAACGAGGCCTAAGAAGTATTCTAGACTAATAGTAAAAACTTCAAGTCTAAGGCTTCGTTTGGGACATCATTCTTATTACTTTTAAAGCAGTTTTTTAATACAAAATTTATACTTTAGAAAACAATAAGAAAGCTATCACAAACAAAGCCTCGGTTGCTTTAATTCCATTCAAGCTGAAAAAGCCTAAAGCAAATATTACTGTAAACTTATTAAACCTAAAGAAAATCGTAGTATCAGATTTTTAGGTTGTAATTGTTGAATAATAAAATTTGGTTCTTTATAAGATAAAGGAATTAAATTTAATACATGAAGGGACTTTATAGTAGGCCAGCATTGTGGAGAGAAAGATCACAACTTTTAGGAATAAAACCATAAAGAACTAAAAAATCCATAGAAAATATCAAAGAATTAAGTAGAGCCCAAGAGAGAGCTCCTTTAAAGGTATTAGAGCCCAAAAGAGAGCCGATATAATTGAATTTTTCTTCTCAAGGCCAACAATGATAAAGGGTCAAAATGAGAAGATCGCATGCATACAGAAGATGAAGGGGTGGGAGCAACAGCTGCTTACTATAGGCAATGGGGTTGTCATCTTTAAACGAATTTCTATATATCTTCAGATCATTTTTGCATCACCAAAGTACCTCCAAAAGACTAAAAATTAACAAATTCTCACAACTGATTAACACGACCATGATTTCTCACCAGTTCTTAGGTAAGCCTCGAAACAGCATCCATTGCTAGTTTTTTCTATCCCCTATTCAAGAAATCACCAGAACAACATAGAGCAATGGAAAGCCAAAAGTCACATATAGTGCCACACAAATGAGAGATTATTCTGTGCGGACACCGGACGGAAGAACTTTCCACGCTCGGTATCAAGCGTCGGTACCGAGCGCGGTACACTTTTGAGGTGACATGACGTATTTTTATTGATCTTTGGACGACATCCAGACTTCGAACAGAATAAAAATTCCACTCAAAACTAGTTGGAGTCTTCAAACAAATTCTTGAAAACCTAAAAATTATTGAAACATTTCATATTTTGTACTAACATAAAATAAACTCTCAACTTTATTTCAACCAAAACATTACAAGTAGCACAAAACTATTCATAAAGACGCGAACATGACCAAAATAACAAGTTCCAACAAAAGACTAAAGGACGCAGATGCCAGCCATAGCTAGCAGCAACAGTGAACCGGCATCTATAGTTAACACAGTGCATTTTTATTCATTCGACACTCAACATTATAACCAACCTGCTCCTCTCTAGCAACTCAGCTGCTGAATGACAGAGCAGCTAAGACCTTCTTGCTGGCTGGACGGGAACTGATGGCATCCCACCAGGCCTTCACATGAGGACGAGAGTGGAAGAGGGAGCCGTGTGGGGTGCTGGTGATCAGGTAGTGGACATAGGAGAGGTGGTGGAGGTCAGCGAGGCTATAAAAATCACCTGCAAGGAACTTTGTTTTTGAAAGCTTGGCCTCATAAACATCAAGTACCTTACCCAGCTTCTCTGCCTCCGCAGCCACCACCTTCTCATCAGTGCTTCCTCCAAAGAAAATTGGAAGGAAAACATGCTGGAAGACAAGGGTGGAGATAGGTCCATTGAAGTGCTGTGTTTCGACCTCCATCCACTGATCCACCGATACAGAGTCGACAAGGCTTTCTTCTCTCAAGAGATCAGTTCCCTTGCCATATTTTCGCACCAAGTACCGATTTATAACCCGAGATTCTGCAATGTAAAATAAAGCATTTGATATGCATTAGCCAAGCACCTCACACAATCCAGTATCTCCTATATAAGAATTGACTAACTGATCATTCATGTTCTTGACAAATTTGATCTTCATTCCCATTAAAGTCTCCACTAAGAAAAATATATATGTGCAGCCATTCAACAAATCAAGCAAGGTTCTAATTATAATCAATAGACAACATTATAATGTTCTGAAAATCGGATCAGACACTGAAACTAAAAAAAAAAAAATATTTTCATGGTTTAAATAGTCAACCAGTGTTGAATCAGATATTAAACCGAACTCCATAATAAATATTAAAATTATTTATGCAGTAAATGATGTAACAACGATGTTAAAATAAAACAAAGAATAAAATAAATCTAAGCTCACTATATATTTTAATGATTAACCTCTTCTTTTGCAGCCATCAGTGAACTTTAGAGGTGTGAATGGCGAAGGCTTAGGCGATTTGGGAGTTGGGGGACTTAATAAATAATACCTTTTTTCTTTAGATTAATTGGTCTATCAATCAGAAAATCTTTTTCTGCTGGCACTTATCAAAAACATATTAGCTGTTCCAAGTACTGAATAATTAACCTTTACTTGTCTCAAAGATTATAATATTAAAATTTCAGGCATATAAATCCAAAGAAACCGAAGGAAAATTAATCGATGAAGTGTAAAATAACAGATAAATCCCTCACCAAACAGAATAAGATCGCCGTCCTGGAGTGCCGGGATCTGACCAAAGGGCTGCACGCATAACAAAATTAAATAAATACATGCTTAAGAAAAGATGGATAAATTCATCAAAAGCGAACTGAAAATAAAGAAAATGGATACATTTCTGTGGATATGCGGTGGCCGCTTGTGCTCGCCGGTGGTCAAATCGACGGGGACGAGCTCGTATTCCAAACCGATCTCTTCTATGCAAGCAAGCACGCGTACGGTGCAGGTCGAAATAGGGTTGCCGAAAACCTTAAGAACCATCTCGCCTGTTGATCTCGCCGTCGACCTCTTCCTTTACTTTAGAGATGAAGATGGATTTTGATTTGAGGATGGCCTCGGCTTTCGGGCTAGTTATATAGCGAGCGCCTCTCCTAATGCTCTAATTGTCTTAGATTTTTTTTTATTATTATTAATAAACTTATATAGTAAAGGCTATTCATCGTTGAATAATTGACTTTGTAATTTAGACTTTCTAATCCTACTTCTTTCAATTAAGGGGAAGAAAGACTTATTTAATTTTTGCTTATATTGTCAAATATTTTAACTAGATTATATATATATATATATATATATATATATATTAAACATAGGCGTCGGAGGATCATAGTCGGGTAATGATAGTTAGCATACTGTTGTCATGAATAATCGGACCATTATTATTGAAAAATTATAATCAAGTGACTATGTTCAAAAGATTATTATTATTAGGCGATGGTGGACAGAGGACTTTAGTCAGATGAATATTGTCAAAGAATTAAAGTTGGAAAATAATGATTCGGAGAGCATAATCAGGCAACGATAGTTGGAGGATTATAATTAGGTGATAAAGGATTATAATTAGGTTAAGCAATAGTGGTGAGAGAATCAAAGTCACGCAATCGGGATTGATAGAACATATGATGTTGTACATCATCTATGCTAAGATAATTAATTTAAAATCCTAATTATAAGAGCTAAAGGTAAATCCTAAGAAAAATATCATATAAAAAGCCGAATTAAATTAACCCTATAAATGTCCTAATAAAAAGCTTATGATTCAGAGTATTCTAAATATAATATAAATTTTATTATTCGTATATCTTACTAACTAAAGATTTATATGGCCAACTATGACATGATTTAGAGTGGATTAAAAATTAAAATATATGATTGAATAAATTGGCACCAGGCTCACCTCTATGAATTCTAGTGAGACCATAAATTAAGTGTTGCAAAGATGATGATATTTAGGCGGATAAGTTGCTTCACCCTTAGGAACAGAATGCGAAATACATATATACGTGAAAAAGGTTTAAGTAGTTCCAGTAGCATATAAGATTATAGAGAGTCACCTTAGATGATTTGGTCATATAAAACATCAGTCTTCCAATGACACGAATAGAAAAGTAGATACATTAGATTTGACCTATGTTAAGAAAGGTCAAGATAGACTAAAAATATTTGATTAGAAAGTATTATAAATTATATTTTTTTATTTATTTTAAATGAGAAACTGACTCTTAACATGGCACAATGATGAAAAAGAATTCATGTAGTCTACCCCATATTGTGAGATTCAGGCTGCTCTCTCTCTTTCTCTCTCTCTCTCTAATTGATTTGTGATTTTTGAATGTATTTTTGCGCATTCTAAGTTGAACCTTTTGGGTTGAGTTGTAATCAATGTAAAGTTGATTGTAATTATCTTTCATGGTTAATGAAAATAGGCTCAGCTCCCAAAATTTTCAAGAAGCAAAACTATTAAAATCTAAGAATATAAAAAAGTTTCGCCTCACATTTATACCTTAATAGTATCCAAATCATTCAATTATTTGTTCAAACTTTGAGATATATTCCTCCTCTACGTTTAAGTTTCTATACAATTCCATTTTTTTGTCCTTAACGCCACCAAATTTCTTGGCATTGAGTATCATCGAATTCCATTAGACCATTACCGAACTTTGTGGAAGCATATAGCATTTCAAAGTTTAGATTTTTGACAGCAAAATATTTGTGAATTAATATATTTATGAAATAGGACATAACTTGTGAGAAAATAGGAAATTATTTGGAAAATAAATAATATCAACTATTTGCATCATAAATTAAAAAAAATATAAGCACCTATTAAAATATAATTTAAATGAATATAAATGACTCTCTTTAACTTTTACGATTTAAATCCTTTACGATTAATCTGTTAATAAAAAATTATAATTGTAATTTTAAAAATAAAATAATATAAAGGCTGCCTCAAATAAATACCAATATAAAATTATAATTTTTAATTACAAATAATAATAATAAATAACACTCAAATAAAATTATATTAAAGAAACTCCATGTGTATTTATTAATAATAATTGTAGGATAATGTCATCTTGGCTTCAGATATGTTGGGCTGCTTTAAGAGGTGTACTAATGATAGCTACATGTGTGCTAAATTGGACATTAGAAAAGCTTTTGATACGTTTTTTTGAGAGAGTTTCCTTTACAAAGGATGACTCAAAAGGGGATTCCGCACACCTTTATTAATTGGGTAAAGGCTTGCATTGAGAATGTTAAGTTTTCTATTTGTATTGATGGAAATCTTGAAGGTTACTTATCTTCCTTGGCTGGATTGCGCCATGGATGTCCTCTAAGTCCTTACCTTTTTTGTTTTGCTATGGATGCCCTATCCTGTTTGCTTGATTGCCAAACTAAGTGTACTTCCTTCCAGCCTGTGGATATTAGTGGCTTTCGTCTTTCTCATCTCCTTTATGCCGATGACGTTCTTATTTTTGGTCGAGCCTCTCTCTCTAATTGCAATGTGCTCAAAGGTTTTCTCAAAATTTTTGGAGACTTGTCTGGCCTTGTTATCAATCCTGAAAAAAGCTCCATCATTGTCCAGCACAATAACCCGCATGCTAGAGATATTTGTGAAACTCTTAATTATATACCCAATTTTTGTCACAAAATCACCTACCTGGGTATCCCTATTTCCATAAAGAGAAATCTTATCTCTGACTTCTCACCACTTCTTGATATTATCTCTAACAAGCTTTCGGGTTGGAAGGCAATGTCTCTTTCTTTTGCAGGTAGGTGTCAATATTTATGTTTCACTATTTGGAATACTATAGCTTACTGGATTTGTGGTGCTATTATACCTAAAAGCTGTTGCAAACAAATTGCCAAACTTTCAGATATATTTCTTTACTTTGGTGACACCTCTTCAAAAAAAATTTACATCTTGTGTCATGGGCTAATACTTGCAAACCTAAACACGTTGGTGGTCTTGGCTTGCCATCTTTTCAAGCTCTTCGTTATGCATTTGACTGTTCTCTTATTCTGAGAATATATAATGGGGATTCACTGCTCTCTTCTTGGTGCTTTATCAAATATGGTTCTCCTTGGAAGAGCCCAACTACCCACTCCTCATCTATGTGGAAAAGTGTTTGCTCTATTGCAAACCTTGTTAAAGCTAATCTTAAGTTTAATTTAGAGTTACTGTTAACTCTAAGGCTTTTCTTAAATGGGATCATTGGTGTTGTGGCTGTAGCATCTATGAATTTGAACAACACCATACTATCTTAAATCAGTTTTCTGATAATGCCACTATCAATGAGATGATTGATGGTTATGGATGCGTAATTCCTAACGGTTGTCCTGATGAAATTTTTAATGCTATAAGCTATGTACCTATTATTAGAGATGTTAATGCTCCTTGCTTGGTTTGGGCTGATGGCATTAGAACTAAAAGCTATTTTAGTTCCTTTGTGAAAGACTTTTATAAAGATTAGAATGAGGTGGCATGGTATAAATTTGTTTGGCATAAGCATTATGCAATCCGGTACTCAATTTTTGGCTGGTTGTGCCTAGTTGGGGGTTTTAAGATGACGGATAATCTAATAAAAAGGAATATCATGGTGGCCTTCAAATGTTGTTTTTGCTTGAATCATTGTGAAAGTGTTACACATCACTTTTTTAAGTGTGACTTCACTCACTACATTATTACGGAATTGATGCCTTGCCTCAACTCCTTTCTCATGCGCCCAAATCTTCTACAGCTTTTGGAATTTCTAGCGGATAATGGCTCTTCCAATTTGGATATGTTGTATTTTAACTTGATTATGCTTTGGGCCAGTGTTTATACTATCTGGAGGGAGAGGAACGAAATGACATTCTCCAATAGTTTCAAGAGTATTGCAACTTTGAAAATTATCATTAAAAAAGCTATTACTGTTAAGGTGATTAAGTGGAAAAATGGGGAGAGCTTATGTCAGCGCCTGCAATCTTTCTCTTGCGTTTTGGTTTCTGCTTGGCTTTGATCTTGCCTCGGGCTCGTGTATTCCGCCATTTCTGTTGCAAGCTGGATTAATTTTGTTGCGTGGTTGCTGAGGTTGCAGGGGGAGATGATGGGTGGATTGCTATCCTCTTCCCCTGGATGGTAATTTTTGCAACTTTTCTTTTAGATGACAACTTTTGCAACCGGGAGATTTGATCAGTTTCTAGGAGGCAATCCTCTTTTGCTGAGCCAAATTTCTCTGCTCCTGCCTGCTGTTTTGATCCTATTTTTTGATTCATGTGTTTTTTCACCTCACGGTGGTCCTCTTCTTGCTGCTTTTGTAGCTCCTTCACAGTTTTGGCTTCTCTTCTTTTTTTACTTTTTTTTTTTTTTGGGACATTTAGGCCATTTAAGGCAAACTCACACACACAACGCATACACATGGACTCGAACCTTGGACCTCTTAGTTGGAAGCCTAAGCTCTCAACCAATAAGCCAAGGGGAGTTGTATTCTTTTTTTTACTTTCACATATGTAACTATTTTCTTTTAATGATATTGGGTTAAGCCCGCAATTGACCCAAAAAAAATAATTGCATGTACTTATTGGACAGCAGGCTTCTAGAATTTCCTTTACTTGATCTTTTCTGGCGGATGTGGGCCAGATGACTTTTAGTATGCCATTAATGACCATTAATAGAATGGAGGTATATGCCTTTTAATGGTCAAACTTCACACTTGTGTCCCTGCAGTAGACGATAAGATCGAATGTGATAGCCAATAAGAAATATATTTGGGAGTTTTTTTTTTATTTTAATTGGGTATATAATAAATCTTTGAATAGTATATGGCAGGCCTGCTTTAGCACGTTCTTCGACAACGTGTTGGACCAGTCGTGTAGGTTAGTCGGTCTTTTACTTTTCATTTTTCATTTGCTATTGAAAATTAATGTTACGGGCAATGGGCGTTGAAATTTCGCACGTACATAGGTAGACCGTAGACCGAACAATTATTACGTCCTGATGTAGAGCTACGTTTGGCCGTCAATAATATGTCGCCAAGTACTCTTACTCTTTACCGTGCGGCCCGACGACTTG